GTGTATTTGGTTATATGTAATATATATTATATATATGATTCACATATATGCATATATGTATTACACACACACACACACACACACACACACACACACACACACACACACACACATATGTTATGTACACCCACGGTTTCCTCTTGGGATCTTCCTCAGCATTTTCACTGAGCATCTTTGTAATGGTTATTTTGAATACTCTGTCAGGGGTAATTGGTATTTTTCACTTCATTAAGATTGTTTTCTAAAGCTTTATCTTGTTTTGTTTTGTTTTGTTTTTGACTCTTAGCGTTGTTATTGCACATTAGGAAAAACAACCATCTTTCCCAGTCTTCAGTGGCAGGCCTCATACAAAGAAGACCCATACCAGGCAGTCTTGCTGGAGATTCTGGGGATCTCTCAAACTTTTTCTGTGTATGCATCTTCTCTGGACTTACTTGTGTAAATTCTTAATGAGAGGAACTTTCCTTTTATTTACTTATTTTTAATGAGTTCATTATCTCTTACTCCCTCTGGTGTCAGTCTGCTGTGCTGTGGGTCTGCTGATATTGCAGTATACCAGAGATCTTCTTATGTTCTCAGAGGTACTCAGGCATTGAGATTATCCATCATGCTCTGAGACTAGTGAGACTGGCACCAGTCCCTTGGGTAATCACATGAAAAATCTGAATGTTGGTCATAAGATTCTGTCTTCTCTCTTCCCCCCTAGAGATAAAGCCAAGGTCTGGGAGTTAAGCCTATCATATGCTGAGCCAGGGGAGGGGTTCTAGCAGGTGATTGCTACTGGTCCAAACCTTTGCCTTTGGTCTCTGTAGCCTTTATGCGTCCAGAGTATGCTGGGTCCCATCAGTGCTCCAAGACTGGTGAGAACAAATCCAGGCCTTTGAGCAGCTTCCCAAAATATTGGAACATTGGACACACAATCCAGCTCGTTTCTTTCACCAGAGAGAAACTGGGATTTGGTGGTTTTTTTGGTCTGTGCTGAGCAATACAGAGGGGTTGCAGTGAGTGCTTGTAGGATAGTCCAAACTGTCACTTTTTTTTCCTGTGGCCCACAGATGTCTAAAGTATGCCAGGTCCCATGAAGGCTCTGAGAGAGGGAAACTTGAAACATTGGACACACAATCCTACTCTTTCACCAGGAACAGGAATTTGGGAAATTTCGCCCACTTGCTTTCTGCTGAACTAAGGGGAGAGACCATGACAAGTGCTTTCTGACTAGTCCAAACTGCCATCTTTGTTCTCAGTAGCTCTTAGGCATCTGTAGAATGCTGACTCCCATCTGTGCTCCAAGACAGGTGTGGCAGAAGCCATACCCTCAGGCAGTCCCTGGGAAATTTGGAATATTGGACATATGGGCCATCTCTTTCCCACCACAAGGAGAAACTGGAATTTGGAATTTTTCACCTGCTTACTGAGAGGGACTTTGGGGAGTCTCGTGTGCTAGTCTAAATTGCTGTCTTTTTTATCAGTAGCTCCCAACCTAGGGTACTTTCCTGTCAGTGCTCAGATTCCGGCAATACATGTACCAGCCCCTTGGGCAGCGTTAGGAAGTCAGCACATTAGACTTACAGTTCAGTCCTTTCCTTCCCCCCCAGGGAGAAACTGGGAGCTAGGGGTTTCCTGCTGATCATATGGACTGGGAAGGGGGATTGTGTTGAGAGAGTTTCTTGGATTTTCCTGTAGGCTTCATTGTGGCTGGTTTCATGCTTGCCTGGGTACAGGAGTCACTCAGCTGGTTCTGGTTCTGGATTTCTCCAAAGGGAAGTGGTCTGTGTGTTATTGAATCTATGGGACCGTGAGGGGAGGGAAGGCCAGGACCTCCTATACTGCCATTCTGAGGTCACTTCCAAGTTTCTTTCTTTCTTTTTTTTTTCCGAGTTGGAATTTCACTCTGTCACCCAGACTAGAATGCAGTGGCATGCTCCCAGACACTGCAGCCTCGACCTTCTGGGCTCAGGAAATCCTTCCGCCTCAGCCTTCCAAGTAGCTGGAAGTACAGGCACGTGCCACTATGCCTGGCTAATTTTTTTTATGTATTGTAGAGACGAAGTTTCGCCAAGTTGTCCAGGCTGGTCTCGAACCCGTGGGCTCAAGTAGTCCTCTCACCTTGGCCTCCCAAAGTGTGAGCTTATAGGCGTGAGCCACTGTTTCTTTCTTTTTGGTTGGTTGTCTTTTCCTTGTTTTGTCCCTTCTTCCTGTATCAGTGCATTCTCTTCCAAGTCATCATGTGACTAAGCTAACATATATCCTTTCCTGTTGGGTTCATCATAATCTAATCCTGTATAGAACTATAGACTCATATTTACATACATATTTATCTATCTATATTTGGCATTGTTCACAAAAATAGAATTGCATTATAAAGGGTTTTTTTGCATCTTGATTTTGACTCAACAGTACCTTCTGGAAATTTTTTTGTGTTATCAGGTGTAACCTTATTTTATATTGACATTATAACATTCATCATGAAAGAGTACCGCTATTTATTTAGTCATTTTCCTACTGAAGGCATTTGCTTTACATATTTCTACCTTTTTACCACTCCAAGCAAACAATTGCACATGTGTTCAGGTATACAGGGCTTTTATTTGTATGGGATAAAGTTCCAGGATTAGAACTTTTTTGGCCAAAAGACTTATAGAGTTTTACATTTTAATAAATGTTGTTGGATTGTTTTCCAAAAGACTGTACCACTACAGTTTTCACCAGCAACAAGTGAAGTGTTGTTCCATCACATTCCAGCTAGTCACGTGTTCTAAACATCTTTAAACTTTGTATGCCAAATAGAGTAAAACGATATCTCATTCTCACTTTTGTTTACTTGACAACTGGTAAATTAAATAATCTTTTTACATGCTTTTTGCCCATTTGGACTTGCATTTCTGATCATTGTTTATTTTTTGCCTGCTTTTCTAAAATTTTTGGTTTTATGACATTTTCATATCAATTTACAAAGATAGCCTATGTCCAATAGATAACCCTATCATTCATGATTCATTTTCTTAATTGTATGTTAAATAATTGATGATGTGTTAAATATATAAATGTTTTTATTTTTATATGCTCAATATGTCTGTATATTTCTTTGTAGCTGTGGAGTATTTAGTCTTACTTTGGAATGTCTGTAAAACTCAACTGTATGTATATATAGTCTCATGGATTTACGGCAAATTTTTAAAAAATTTATTTTAAAGATGTAGAGAACAATTCAGCATTAGGTACCTAAGTGGTCATCGTACAGATGAAGTTTTGGCTTCCCACTGGTCCTCACTTCACTTGGTTTGGGATCAGGTACCCCTATTGTTGTGTGCATTCCCCACCCTGGCAGTGTCCTATACTCCCAATCCCTTTCTTGTAGTATTATGACAAATGTTCAGAGTTCACTTATGAGTGAGAACACGTGGCACTCAGTTCTTTGTTTTTGTGATAGATCACTGAATACGATAGACTCTAAGTTCATCCAAGTCACTGCAAATTCTATAACATTGTCCTTTTTGGCTGTGTAATAGTCCATTGTGTATATGTACCACATTAAAAAAAATCTAGTCCACTTTTGATGGACAGCATGATTGGTTTCATGTTTTTGCTATTGTGAATAGTGCTGCACTACATATGCATATGCAGGTGTCTTCTTTGTAGAATGATCTGAGTTCTTCTGGATATATTCCCAGAAGGAGGATTGCTGGGTCGTATGGAAGAAGAAATTGACACACTGTTTTCTACAGGGATTGTACTAATTTACACCCCCACCAACAGTGTAGAAGTGTTCTCTTTTCCCTGCATCCTCTCCAGCATCTGTTGTTTTTTGAGTTATTGATGATGACCATCCTGACTGGAGTTAAACGGTGGTATTTCAGTGTGGTTTTAATTTGTGTTTCTCTGATGATTAGTGGGACTGAGCATTTTTTCATGTATCTGTTGGCTGCTTGTATGTCCTTTTTTGAGAAGTGTTTATTCTCAAAAGAAGCCATCAAAAGAGCAAGGAGACAGCCCACAGAAGGGGAAAAAATATTTACCAACTATATATCTGACAAAGGCCTAACATCTAGGATCTACATTGAACTCAAACATGCCAAAAGGAAATAAAACAAACAGCCCTATCAAAAAATGAGCAAAAGACTTGTCTTGGTGGCAAGTGGATTGCATGAGCCCACAATGGTTCGATACCAACCCGGGCAACTAGGCGAGACCCTTCTCTCTACAATAAATAAAAAGTTAGCTGGACATGGTTGTGCATGCCTGCAGTTCCAGCTACTTGGAAGGCTGAGGAGGAAGGATCGCCTGAGCCCAACAGGTCAACACTGGGGTGGCCGTGAGCATGCCACAGCACTCCAGCCTGGGCAACGGAGTGAGACTCCAACTCAAAAAAAAAAAATATGCCTTCAAGGCAGAAGGGCAGGTCTTAGACTTGCTGACCACTCTGGGTCAAATGGCCTATGGTTCTGATGTTTTTGAGAGGGTGCCAGGCTTCCTCTTGGGAAAGCCAGCCTTGACACCAGCCTTTTCTTGAGACATGAAGAAATACACTTCCTACCTGAGTAAGATGTATCTATCATCTTCATGACAAATTCATAATCACATGTATATAACCAAGGCAGATAAGGGATAGTTCTTGGAATAGGTGACCATTTATGCTGGTGTTCACCTTGAATAAGGACACCTAGACACCTCAAAGGAAGATATATGGCTTATCTGTTGTATACCTGCCTGGCACAGGGTCTGGGAAAGAATTGTCTTGGGATTTCTTTTCTGAAACTGAGAAGTTGGGAATTTTCCTAAGATTCAGACTCAGAAATAGGTTTGCACAGTTATCACAGTGCTTCAGCTGAGGGACTTGTAAGGTAAATGTCATAGATTTAAGTTCATTGGGGAAGCCTAATTTTAAAAATCCTTTTGTGTTGGGAGGTTGATAAGAAACTATGTAAGTTTTGGGAATCTGTTAATACAATGAAAGCATCACTCCTGCACCTTCTTAATATCCTCTTATGTTGTATTTACAGGGAAATGTGTCCTTCTCCTGTTCACACTCTCAAATTGTTCCTGTGACTTTTCTGAGCTCCAGGAGTTACTTGGCTCTGCCGGGCACCTCTGGACAGGACAAAGTGATTGTCACTTTCCAATTTCGAACATGGAACAGAGCAGGGTTGTTGCTGATCAATCAGTTTCAATATGGTTCAGGAGCTCTTGTTCTTATTCTTAATGATGGAAAACTCAAGCTGAGCCTCTCCCAGCCTGGACATCCAGCAAGGGACATCACAGCAGGTAACAAATGTGTCCTCTAAGATAATACATATGCATTTAGCATGATTATATCATCCTTACACATAAACCTAGAATTAGTCATCTTTAGAATAAATAAGTAATTTAATCAATAAGATGTTTATAATACTACTAGAAGGAACTGGATTCCCTTTTCTTTTTAAGTAGGTAACACTAGGTTGTTCATGTGTGAGTTAGTGTAGCAGAATTTAGCTACATCAAAGCATAATTGTTAAAAAGGTAAAAACATAACTCATATGTAAGTAAATGGTTAATAACCACAAATAAACCTGAAATACTAGAAGACATTAGCCTAATCCTAGGTAGTCTTGAGAAAATAGATTTCTTTGAACTGCCTTTAGAACCTATATACTGATTGTTTTTCAAAATAGCCTGTGTTATATTATTCCCTCTCAGAGCTGCTGCTTTCTTTGAAGGCGACTTTATTTGGATAAGACTTCTTATAACTGTGGGTGAAAGTTCTGCTTTAGACTTCCAAGAAGGACCTTTTTATTTCTAGTCACATGTTATCTCTGAACTTCGGGGCTATTTTGCATATGGTTACTGATAAAAATTTAAAACCAAATAGAACCAGGACCTGTCACTTCATGAATGTTGATTGTGGAAGAAATATATTGCCTACGGGTCTGAAAAGTTAGGAGTGAAATTTAATTTTCTCTTTCTTTTTATAAATACAAAAATTCTGATTATAGGCACACTGAGGTTTTTTTATGTGGATTGATGCAAATGCACTGAACTGATAGTATTAATTCAGACTCATTGAACTGCCTGAATCTTGGTTTATAATCCATATGCAATATTAACTAAAAGAGATAGTTTTTTCTTGTTGTTTCATGTGGCACATGTGTATTGCCCCCTAATACCCACATATATTAGTTGAACTTTTCGGTAAGCTGGCACTGAAACATTACAGAAATGTTTTGTTAAGCCAATTTTTTAAGCTATTACAGTGCAATATGTACTATTTTTTCTGAAGAAAAGCAAAGTTTAATTTCTCATATTAGTTTCTTGTTGTAGCATCTTTTAAAGGAGGCATACATTTGAAATGAATGGGAAATAAGACTGATAGAAAATCTTTTACTATATGACTTTAAGCAAAAACACTAAGTAAAAAGACAGGATTGGGAAATGGGGAGGCGTCTAGAATTTATTTTTTATTTTTGGTTCATTTTGTTAGTTGTAGGATTACAGAACTTCTTTCAGAATTCTATTTCAGGGTCAGCTTCATAAAACATGTTTAAGTATCTGACCTAAATTCTCCATATTCTTGCTTTCAACTTTTCTCGTTATCTTTCATGAATGAATGTTGTGTCTGAAAACTTTTTTGGCTTCATAAATGTAAAACCAAAAGTGAGAGAGTAGCATTTTTCTTGTATTAAACATGTATACGGTGCAAAGAACTATAGAAACCGTAGTGACTTTAAAATTACTTTCTCCCTAAAGGTGAGTGCTGGGAACCATCAGAGCTAATATTTAACAATCTGAGAAAAATAAAGCTGTAGCTGTTTTTAGAACAGGATCTATGGCTTTTTGGGCCATGTTAGAAACTTATTCCCAAACTAGTGGATTATGAGTCCTTTTCAAAGTCACTGATGAGAGAACCAGCAGATCGGAAAAAGTTGCTTTGAAGGTCATTTGAAGGACACGGATTTATATGGTTAATTGGACAAGGAATATAAAAATCTGCTATTTAATTATATGCAACACTGGTCAACTTTCTGTAGGAAGTAAGACTATTTTCTTGGGGATAACATCTCCACTGGGCTATAAAATACTAACTTCTAATTTCTTCAGGTTGACTTCTAACCTTGTAAGGCTGTAGACATTCTGTACCTTTATTATTTGTAAGATGTATTCGTTACTTTCAGTGGAACATTCCCTAAGGCATTGGACTGGAGGCAGGCAGGCTTATTAGCATGATAAGTATGACATCCACAAAATTAAGTAATCATCATTTTGTGATTTTTAAGTGAATACATTTTTTTCTTTATGACCCTCCTCTTTTGATTAAGGGAGTTTCTAAAGTTTCCCGTTATTCACTACCCCCTTTAAGAGAAATCTGCACCTCTGCCCTCTGCTGTGAGAGTTCCAGTGACTCTGTGGAAGAATACATCCCCATGCCCATCAATGCCAGGCTTGGCCGAGGACACATTTTGGTTCATGGAATGTGAGTGGAAGTGACATGTGCCACATCTCAGTAGAAGCTTTAAGAACCATAGCCAGATTCTGTTAAGTGCTCTTTTCTCTCACCCATACGATGGGGGCCATGCATTTAGCCTCAGTCCTGCATGAATAAAACCCTTAAGGCAGAGTGGAAAGATCCCCTGTGAGTATAGAACCAGCGAGAGAAGCAAACCCTAGTTTGTTATTCTCTGAAACTTGGAGATTGTTTACTCCCACAAAATAATCACTAGAACCAACTAATAAGAATTGCTTTGGTCACAGCATTGGGATACCTCCTAGTCATTTATTTATTTCTTGTGTAATACAGTGTTAGATTTTCATTCAATATAAAACCTGGTCAGTAAGTGTCTAGGAGATGCCGGTATCTTGCTTGGCTGGTAGCTGGTCAGCGATTCAACCACATGCAACATTGCCCACTTCATCACTTTAAGTAGAAATAGGTTTTTATCTCATGGATTCAAAAGACAGCGACTACTTTAGGAGGCAGTAATGTTAGTATTTTTTTAAAAACATAATATAGAAACAGCTGAATACACTGTAGCAAACTAAAAAAATATAGAAAATGTAAAAATGACATATAATGAATGCCATGCATGGCAGGGTGGCTGGATATGGCCTGAGTCACAGGGGGGTGAAAGTATTCACCAAGATAGTTATGAATTAAGAAAGGTAGATTTATTAAAGGGGAGATACTTTGTGAAGGACACAATAGGCAGAACAGCAGTGAGAGTGCCTACTGTCTGCTGCAAAGAGACATGAATTAGAGGGGTGTTATTATAAGAGGGGTCCAGTGTAGGCCAGGAGGAACAGTCTTTGAGGGTGGTCTGCAAAAGGAAATGTTTAGAATTTTGTGAAGTGATTGAATGATGTGGTATTTTGTTATTTAAGATAGGGTTAGTTAACAGCAATAATTGACTGCTTTGTTTTTGAAAATCACTCCTTGAGTTATTAGTGATTTTCTTTGTTGGCTGTGGAACCAACAGCAAATGTTTTACAGCTGGCCATCCAGCCTTTGCAGCTTCTTGCTGTTATCCATAAGTTTCCTTGTAGATTTTTGTCGTGAGGTCCCTTCCCTCAATATAATTTATCAAATTTACTTAATTGATGCTGGCCTCATTAGGCCTCTTGTTTTTCCACAATGAGAACACATGTCTCTCTCTAAATATTATCAACATTTAACAACATTTCCTGCCAGATTTGTTCATGTTTATACAAAGTTTTTGTATGTATACATGTGCATGTGCACACACATATTTTAATGTAATGCTTTTTTAGCATTACATTTTGTTCTGTGAATTTGTTTTATTAATGCCTAACTTGTTATTTTAAAGATTTTTTCTAAATAGTTTACTAAGATTATTATAAAGAATGGCAACAATTCAAATGTAAGAAAAAAACACTTTGCTCTTATAACTTAGAATTTTTTAAAACATTTGTACTTCTCAACATCCTCAAATATTAATTAGCTAGATAAGACTGAAGTAAACCCTGTGTGAAATATTTTGTTATTGCAGGCTTGGTCAGTTGTGGAAATTTTATTCTCTAGAATAGAATCAATGGACAGAATGGAAGGAAATAACACTTTACTTTCTGCTTTCCCATCTAAAATGTTTTGGACTATTTGCTCTTTTCTTTTTGCCCCTTTCATTCTGATTTTTTTTTCCTATGTGTACTTACCTGACTTAATTGAGTGATGAGAAAGTGAAAAGAGCTGCTCTAGCAGTGGACATGTAGGCCTTAATATTCACAACTGAACATTATAGTTTTCATGAGAGCATAAAGAAGAACCAGATTGGTCAGTTCATAACTGGTGAACCAAAGACAAGGGCACTCTGAAACCACAACATGAACTGAGAAAGCCCCTCTTCCGACAACTGTGGGGAGAACCTTTCTCTTATAAATAAAAATTACCAGGATGCTAAACCTCTAATTGTCCTTTTAGAATGACCCAGCACCAGCCCAGATCTTTTCTAAGTTCCCCTTATGAGACGCCCCATGGGGTGCATGCTCCTTTGTCCCAGCCAGTGACCTGGTTGGACTTCAAGTGAATTCCTGATGGTCTTTGGCAGGCAAGAATCTGCCTCCACTGTTGTCAAGCCCTTCCGCTGCTTATAGACGTCTCTAGAGCTCATAGGAATCCCTTTTAACCCTGTTGTGTCTACTAGGTGATGGCTTAGGTGATGGACAGTGGCACTCCGTGTACTTGTCTGCTAAGAGGCATCACCTGAGTGTGAAGGTGGATGGTGAAGTAGCCTCAGCTGCTTATTCCCAGCATGAGCAGATCGATTCTGGAGACACCTATTATTTGGGGGGTAAGTGAAAGGAATAGTCTGTGTTGTAATCAAACCTTCATCTTTTTATCTCCTTCATTATATGGCAATTGAGATTTTTAAGTGAAAATCAATACTGAAAATGACTTTTCTTTTTCAATTATAGTACATTAGGAATGTTGAGTGGGCAAAGATAAAGAATTATGGTTTAACATGCAAGTCTCCTAGTTGGCCTTATTTGAATGTGCATGTAATGAGATTGGTTTTAAATAGCGCACCCTCCATAGAGCTTGTTCTTGACCAAGCCTGCACATTGCAGTCACTTGGAAATCTTCAAACATGTTGATGCCCTGACACTCCATCACTAGAGATTCTGTTTTAACTGGGTCTGAGGCCTGGGCATTAGTTTTTGTTTTTGTTTTTGTTTTTTTAGTGCTCTCTAGGTGAATGCAGGATGCATATGATGCTGAAGGTCATTGTCTGTTTCTTACCTTTATAAGTTTGCTAGGGAATTTTCCTAATGCCAAGTCATCCTTACAACCTTTTCTTTAGATTGTCTTTGCTAATGTTATTGCTGCATATGGATGTTTTTCTTATTCTGTCTGCTGGCTTCTTCTCTGCCTGGAACCTGGCTATTCAAATGTGATCCATGAACCAGCAGCTGGCAGTTTATTAGAAATGCACACTCACTACCTCTGACCTCCTGAACCAGAATCTTAATTTTACTAAGATCTCCAGGTAGTCTGTAGGACCTTAAAGTTTGAAAAATAGTCTATTCCCATGACCTATACAGAAGGGCACTATTATAAACAGCAGAGCAAGTGATTAATTTTTCTAGGAATATTTCTACTCATTGCTTAGCAAGGCATTTTTGTCAAGCCAGAGCATTTGCCTGTTCATTGGCTCTTTGCGGAGTCCATCCTATATCTTTTCAGCCAGGGAGTGGGAGCCTCCAAGGGCCACAAATCCTCAACCCCGGGGCATTCAAATGAAATGTCTCTCACCACTGTTAATAATATCTTGGCTTGAAGCCCTTCTTGATATTATTCCTGTTTTGCATTTTGTTGATTGTTCTTTCCATAATAAGATGTAGATAGCTTGCTAGCCCAACAAGAAAGTATAAAATCCTCTCTAAGAATCAACAGCCAGCAAACAAACCTTGAATGAGGTTGCTTAATCTTTCAAGTCCTCTGAAGCAACCATTGATGTGAAAGGTAAAATAGGTCAACAACCTTAAAACATCTGCTTGCTTGCTTTCTTTGTTTGCTAAATATGGTGCATTTCTGACCCAGAAGCTTTTAAAACTTTGCTACTTATGATGGACTTTATAGATCTGCAAAGGAAAAAATTCCTTCAAACTAAATAGAGTATTTATCCAAGAGCTATAATTTGAAAGGTAAAATATGTTGAAGCACTAAAAGGGATAGGAAGAAAAATCCTTCCTATATTGTTTAATGATACAAAATGAAATACACTGCAGAAAAACACTTTGCAAATCACAGAATCATCTTTCATATTTTAACAATCTACATGTTCAGAATGTACAATGCACAGCGACATAAGATAGGGACTTTCCATAAATATTTACATGCTGATGTGATATGAATCAGTTCTTACTGTGAAATAGATATTTTTTAAAACACTATGGATGCTTCTTAAGAGAATATATATGGGCTCCTCCCAATCTCCAGTCTACATAAGTCAATGTTTGCAATACTTTTGAAGCTTCTCCAGACTCTCAGTCCCCCAGGTCTGCATTTTTTGTGTGTGTGCTAATCTTTATCTTTCCATTGTTTTTTAAAATAAATTTAACATCCATGTAGGTAACTTTAAATAACATGTAGTTTGTGTTGCGTTTTTTTTTCTGAGTCGGAGTCTCACTGTTGCCTTGTTTTTAAGTTCATAAATAAGATAATACTGTATGCATTTTTCCCTGACTTTTTCTTTTTTGTTCTACATTAGATTTTGAGAATCAGCCATGTGAATATGAATAAAGTTAATTAATTTTCACTGCAGCATGGTTTTTGTTAGGCCACACTCCCAACAGGACCTCCAGAATGTTAGATCAAGCCCACTGGGGATGTGGGTGTCTTGGTGTGCCATCCATTGCCGCGATAAAGATGCAAAGAATTGCACAGAATTTAGATTAGAAAATATAGTTTATTTAGAAAGTAAATGAGAGAGAGAGAGAGAGAGATTTAGAGAGAGAGAGAGAGAGAGAGAGAGAGAGAGAGAGAGAGAGAGAGATAGAGATTGATTCACCTCTCCAAGGGAGGAGAGGGGCCCAAAGCCAGGAAATATGGCGAAGGCCATAGCTCAAAGAGCACATGGTCACACCAGAGTCTAGTAGGGCAATGGCGACTGGCTGCTGAGGTTGAATACCTTTAAACATTCCTTTTGATGGGGGCAGATTGTTAAGGTGGTTAGGTGGTGCTCTGCTCCAAGCCATTATGAAGTGACAGATAAGCACAGGTACTGACATCAGGTGATGGGCAGGCAGATGGGTGGATCAGTCACATGATTGCTGCCATGTTGGTGGGGTTTGTTTGTCATGTAGGTCACGAAGGGCTGATTAGGTTAACCTGGGTCTTATGGGTGGAGGCAAATATTTGAAATAGAAAAGCTAGTTAGTAACAAACTGGTGAGGAGGTTGTGAAACAACTATCAAAAGCTACCTCTGAGAAACCAGTTTTGTCCCTGGCTGGTGATTTGAGGATAAGTTAAGTGAACTGCTAGAAAAACATGAGATTTAGGCAATGTTAAAATGGGTATTCATTGGGTATATTAGATCCATGTTATGTCCTTTCCATTTTCAATGTATATTATAACACATTTTACTTTTCTGTGAATACTGTCCCATTTTACTTGTGATAGACATTTTGATTGTGCTCATTGTTTTGCTGTTATAAAAAATGTTATAACTGCTAAGAATCATCCTGCCAGTGCTTTTAAAAAATTTTCTTATATGCACAGACTAACTTTTCTAAAGTGTGTAGTCAATTCAGTGAAGCAACAGCTCTGTAGTTTTCATGACATGCACCAGTTTTAAGTTGAATGAATTTATAAGAATGTGCTGTAGTCATCTTAGTTGTGCACATAGACCCAGCCTTTGGTTGCACTAATATCTATGGAAGAACTTTGAAGACCCAGAGGCAAAGCATTGCAAAAGCATAGTCATTCCTCATGGATTTTCATAAAATTGTGTTGATATGCAGGAAAACTTTCCTGTTAGTATAGTTTTCAATGAGAAATAGTATCACTAAGATGAATGGAATTACAGAGTTTAAACATCCCAGGAGGATGTATAATGACTTTTCTTCCTTAGGGCTTTCTTGTAATTCTTTTGTAATTGCGTATTGGCACTTAGTGGCAAAAATAGTGTGAGAACTTTTAATTACAGCATTTTATTCCTAAGTAATGTTTAAATATAGAGGAATCTCTATATTCATAACTGTATACCCAGTTGATTGCCACAGAATAATTTCAGCCACTGATTCAGATTAACTTAGTCAACTCTATTTTATACTAACGTAGCCCCATCTTTTTTCTTAGGAAAATAATATACACTGTTTTAAAAAATTAAAGTAATACGCTCAGCAGGCAAAAAGAAGCAGGTAAACAAAACCCAAAATATTGTAGTTTACTGATGTTAAACAAAGAGATGGGCATTATTTGTATTCAGGAAACCCAGGAGAGGCAGCGCTATGGCCAGTGAATGTGAAGCTCTGGTTCTCAACAGATTTATTATATTCAAGAGTTTAATGCAGAAATGAAGACTCCTTGTCCCAGGACCTGCAGTCCACTGGGTTTTCCAGCTCTGAGTAAAGCACGGCTGCTCAACTTCAGCATGAATGGAAGGTCCACCCTGAAAATGCCAATGTCAGGATTATTTTATGTAATCCATGGTAGCTTGTGTCAATGTCACTGTGCATTTAATTATCATCTTAATTAGTGTCCATCAGTGCCAGAATATGTATGATGTTGACCAGGAAATTCACTTTATTCAATCCATGCTCTGGAGCAATATTTGGACTAACAAAGTAAGTGTTCTTGTGTCTTCCAGGTGAAAGTCAATTAATGATATTGATTTTTCAAGGAAATCGATACCCCATGATCTAAGACACTCCATAAGCAGTTCTTCTCTTTATATTTCTCTTGATGCAGTTTCAAATACAAATCTTTGATTATCTTTATTAATGTACAGTCAATCAAATTTTACCACAGTGCTTCTTCACCATAAAAGTAGATGTGTGTGCGTCTTGCTATTACAGCTAGGGGGACTATAAATTTATTGCCCAAAGCAAGACACTTTAGAGCATGAGAGGGATGATAGCAATAATTATGACAGCCCACCCAGAGCCAGGGTTCTCTGGTCATATGGAATCATCTATTATGTTATCTGTTATATTTGGCCTGGCAGTCTCAGAGAGTGGCTTTCTTATTATGAAAGGGGTCTACCTACAAAACAGCATTTTTTTCTAGCATTTTCCCAATAGTTTCACTGTACTGAATTATACACAAATGTTTGGTGCTTGCTATTGAGGGTGACTAAAAGTCAAGCTATTTTAACTTTCCTGTCATGGAATCTATTTACTACTCAATAGCAGACCTGCACCACAGAGTGAAGAGCACTGAGTTCTGTTCAGAGATCCCAGAGCCACCTTGTGTGAAATATTAGTTGACCAGAGAACCTCTGATAACTCTGTCATAAAGTCTCACCCAGTACCATTTCTGGTACAGTGACATAAAATGACAATTTCTTTGTCATCCTCAGATGCACTTAACCTTGCTGACTCCCACAATATTAATGGATATGTTTTATTGTTTAGAAATAAGCATTCACTTTTTACTTACACTTTCTGTCTCAAGCGAGGTTGTTGATGAAAGAACCTCTGTCATTTCACCATTAGGGCTTTTGGGCAGTCTTCTACATGACAAATAGTACTGTTCTGACTTGAGCTTGTCTTGAATCTTGGTATCCCTTTCTTCTTCTTTTTTAAAATAATAATCATAGCAAACATTTTTGAGCATTTACTATATTCCAGGAACATAGTGTTTTGCATATAGTAATGTATTTAAACTTCACAGCTATCCTCAAAGTAGGTACTGTTATTGTCCCCATTTTGCAGATGAGGAAACTAAGACACAGGAAGGTTAAGTAAATTGTTCAGAGTCATAAGCTTGTAAGTGACAGAGCTGGGATTTGAATGCCAAATTCTTAACCATTACTGCTTGTCTTCCAGGAAAAACAGGAAAAGGACATGAACAGATAAGGAAATGCAAATGCCTTTTAAAACTCACAATAAGATGCTCAGTCTCACTCAACATACTGTATTTTCATGACTTAAAAGATACTCAGACCAGATACTTTATAGCACGAAAGGGATAATAGCAATACTTATTTTTACATTTAAACATCTCTGAAATCAAGATGCATCTTGGAATCAGTGACATCTTAGATTCAGTGAAATGCAGTAAGTGAAGTGCATATTAATACCACCTGTCAGATTGGCAAAGAACAGAACCTTTGGTAATACTCTGTGTTGCCAAGGGTGTGGGGAAACAGGCCCTTTCAAAAGTCGTGAGAGTTTAAATGGTCATGGCCTCTGTGGAAGACAATTTGGTGTGTATTATCAAAATTTAAAACACAAACATCCTTTGATCTAGCAATTCAATTTCTAAGAATTGTGACCCTTCAGATCTACTGGCCCTTATGAGCAAAGACTTAAGTTCTCTGTTGCACATAACAGCAGTTTGTAACATCCAATGAGGTTAAAAAAAAATGTAGATTAGCTAGGCTGGGTGGCTCTCGCTTGTAATCCTAGCACTTTGGAAAATCAAGGCAGGAGGACTGCTTGAGGCCAGGAGTTCAAGACCAGCCTTCCCTCTTGACATCTGCCTCACAACTCAAGAAGTGAAACACTTAGTGGTTTGACCTTTTCCTTTTTTAAGGCTCCACATTAAGAAAATTATCCTTATGACTACTGGATTTGGTTTAGTTTTGTTTCTGACGGGAATAATTAGATACTATATTTTATTTTGGAACAGTTTAAGACCTGTGATCTAGAGAAAAGGGAAATAAAGCAGAAAGGAAATACCTCTGATTCCACAAAAATATTCATTGACATAATGTTCCCATTCCTTATCTTAATGTTCTTAGTTAATGAGTGCTGTAAGTCACTTGTAAAGATATACCTAGTTTCTTACAAATATATCTAACCCCAGAAATTCTTTTACGAGTTGAAATTTGTGCATTGTCATGTAAAATAAGAAAATGATAAAAGAAAGCTGTAAAGCTTTTTATGACATAACATTAAATTTGAAATGTCAAAGCCTTTTTGAGATTAATTTATGAGGTTTCAATGGGCTTAACAATGGGTTTAAACCTGCTGCAGGTTTTTGAATTATACTTGTTAGGAATACAAAGCATTAATGCCTCAGCCCAGAAAGAAAAGTAAAAATAAACTAATGTGCATTTTATGTAAATTCCTAGGTAGAACACATGCATTGTAGATTAAAGAAGAAGCTGGATTTTTATTTCCTGTCATTTGAAAGTGCACCAGTGATTTGACAACAAGCAAAGAAAGATGAATGAAAAACCCACAAGTGCAATGGGTAACATCTTTACCCATCTTTAAAATTACTTATTCAATTTGATATTAAAAACAAGAACCTTATAAATAATTAATGCTGGGCATGGTGGCTCACACCTGCATTTCCAGCACTTTGGGATGTCTAGGTGGGAGGATCACTTGAGCCCAGGAGTTCTCAGATCTGCCTGGGCAACAATGTGAGGCTCTGTCTCTACCAAAAAAGTTAACTGGGCGTGGTGGCTCATGCCTATAGCCCTAGCTACTCAGGAGGCTGAAGCAGGAGGATCACTTGAGCCCAAGAGTTCAAGGCCGCGGTAAGCTATGATTTCACTACTGCACTCCAGCCTGGGTGACAGAATGAGACCCTGTCTCTAAAAAAATAAATAAAGTAATATAAAATAAGGCTACATATACCAACATAAGAACTTTTTAGTATTTTAATGCTTTGAAAAATACAAAGCAAAAACAAATGAATAATTAAGATACATCTACCAAGTTAAGCAAATTCTTCAAATTATGTAAATGAAACAGTTTTATGAGGGAAAGAATAAATAAAATGATGCTTTGCATTATTTTAGCTTCGCATAAAATATACTTTACATTTTGGGGAGATTAACACAATATTAGATTTAAAATGCTGTGCCTCTTTCATATTTGTTTGGGTGCACTTACTGATGTTATATACCACCCCCCACTCCTGGCAGTGTCCTACTACTGTCAATCCCTTTATTATAGTATTATGACAAATGTTCAGGGTCCACTTATGAGTGAGAGTACATGTGGTACTCAGATCTTTGTTTCTGTAATAAATCACTGAGTATTATAGATAAAATAAATGATTTCTTATGCTGCTTTGCTTAAATGAAGTGTGCAATAACTCATTTGCAGGATTTTACATCTTGCCTTGGTGTCATCTTTCAAAAGCCTGGCTCTAGTTGTTATCTTTACACTTTGCCAATGCCAACAACTCTCATCCTTGTCACCTCTCTGCCATCCCTCCTGTGAGTACTGTGACCCTCCCAAGTGGTTTGTGCATTCTAACCAAATGAAGGCAGTAAGCAATCGGAGGCAGCAGTCTTTCACATGATAAATACTGTGCAATATTGTTGTCATAACTATTGATTTTCTTCTGTTTGTCTCTATATTCAGGCTGTCCAGACAACAGCTCTGGCTCTGGATGTGGAAACCTCCTGGGGGGTTTTCAGGGCTGCCTGAGGCTTATCTCCATTGGCAACATTACTGTGGATCCCATCTCAGTACAGCAGGGGACGCTGGGGAGTTTTAGAGACCTTCAGATTGACTCCTGCAGCCTCACAGACAGGTAAGGGCAATCCTAAGTTATTTTAGCATGCCTGTATTCCACTTTTTGATACGTTAAAAACAACTGGAAAAGAACATCTTCTCCCCTCTCCTTCTTTGTTCCTTATATCTCTTAAAAAAAGGGAAAAATAAGTTTATATTGAAAATGAGAAAACTAATCTTGTTGGATGGCTCACACTTGTATTCCCAGCTATTTGGGAGACTGAGGCAGGTGGATCGCTTGATTTCAGAAGTTCGAAGCTGCAGTGAGCTATGATCGATCATAAAATTTTTTCCTTTCAAATAATAGTGTTTTCTTGAGAAATATCCTGTCACCCATTTCCCTTCGGTGTGCCTCTAAGCTACTTAGTTCTTACAAAATACTATTGATGGTACTGTAACTACTACTATGTATTGCAACAGAGACCATGAAGCCTACAATGCCTAAAATATTTACTATTTGTCTCTTTACAGAATAAATGTATAAATCTCTTCTGTAACAAGTTAATAAACTGAAGTAGAAGTTGGGGAGTCTGGGGGAACGTGTGGGAGGGGCCCTAACTTGTGTTGATGCAAGGCTATGCAGGGAGGCGGAAGAGATGTCTCAACTGGGGTGAAAGACAGCACGTCAGTCGGTCGTTGGGGGAAGTGTCCAATGGAAGAACAGTCTTGTGCCCAAGCCCAGTGTGACATGATGGCTGGTGCTGAGATTTGGAGTTACAAGAGAAGGATTGCGGGTGGGGAGTGATGGGTCTGCCAAGCTTGGTAGGACTATACCACAGAGGCCCAGGGAGTAACTAGTAGTCTGGACACTGGTCTAAGGTTCTCTGGAAAATCACTAAAGGGTTTGAAACTAGGATGTCACTTGTGTGTTTAAACGCAAGACAGCACAGGTGGAAGATGTTTTGGGGAGCAGAGAGGGTGGTGATAGGATGCTAGGGAAGAGGCTTCTTCAGTTTCCCATGTGAAAATGAGGATGGCTTGAACTAGAGGATAGAAAGACGTGGGAGATTTATAAGCTCTTGGTGAGCAGAATCACAAGCTGATTTGCTGCTGCATGGTTGTGGTGGTGAGAGAGACTAATCCTCATGCTCCAGTGTGGGCAGCTGGTAAAGGTGGTATCTCTCAATGGAATGGTGATGGGGGAGATGCATGGCATTTGGAGGAGCAGGGTCAGAAGATTTCATTATAAAGCTTAAGGTATCTTGAAGGAACCAAGAAGCAAAGACTCTTGAAGTGACGTACTTTAGCCATGTCATCCACTTGAGCTTTCTTCTCAAGCAAGGGTGTCTCTTCTCACTCACCGCTGAGAGAAGATGATCTTTTTCACTCAACTCGAGAACAAGATCCTAGTCTATTCATCAGTTTTCATCTTTCACAACTAGATTTTCTCCCATGAATCTGAGTTTCTGTTTGCTGCTGTGAGTAATTTTCCACACCCTCTCATATGTTATTTTTTATGTGATGTGATGTGATGTCATGTCATGTCATGTCATGTCATGTCATGGTAGATGTGGAGTACAGGTAAGAATTAACTACAAAAGTAGGCTGCATGCAGGTGAAGTTTAGGTCTCCGACTGGCCCTCACTTCCCTGGCTTGGGACCAGGGGCCCTTTGTGTTGTTGTGTTCCACCCCACCTCCCTCCTTCCCCGGCAGTGCCCAGCAACTGCTGATCCCTCCCTTGTGCTAATGTGATTAGTGGTCAGATCACACATATGAGTGAGAACATGTGGCATTCAGTTCTTTGTTTCTGTGATAGATCACTAAATATGATGGTCTTCAACTCCAATCTGCTGCTAAGTTCATGATTTTGTTCTTCTTTATGGCTGCATAATACTCTATCATGTATACACACTACATTTTCTTTATCCTGTCCACTTTTGATGGGCAGTAGGGTTGATTCCATGTTTTTGCTTTTGTGCACAGTGCAGCTATAAACATGTGTGCAGGCGTCTTTTTTGTAGAACGATTTATGTTCCTCTGAGTATATTCCCAGGAAAGAGATTGTTGGATTGTATAGAAGATGAATTTTTAGTTCTTTTAGGAATGGCCACACTGCTTTCTATAGAGGTTGAACTAGGTTGCACTCCCACCAACAGTACAGAAGTGTTCCCTTTTCTCTGACCACCCTTGCTGGAGTTAGGTGGTATCCCATTGTAGTTTTGATCTGCATTTCTCTGATATTTAGTAAGGCTGAGCATTTTTTCATGTATCTGTTGACTGCTTGTATATCTTCTTTTGAAGGGTGTCTATCCATGTCTTTTGCCCACTTTTTAGTAGGACTGTTTGGTTTTTTTCCTCTTAACTCATTTGAATTTCTTATAGATTCTGGATGTTAAGCCTTTGCCAGATAAATAAAACGCAAATCTTTTTTTTCTCCATTCTGTGGATTGCCTACTTATTCTCTTGATGGTTTATCTTGCTGTGAAAAAGCTTTTCATTTTAATGGGTTGTCTACTCCAGTGTGCATAAGGGAGTTTTCTTCTAGGATTCTTATAGTTTGAGGGTGTTTGTTTTTTGTTTGTTTTTTGTTTTTTTAGAAGCAGAGATAGTTTTATTTGATTTGGCTAAATCTTGAGGATGGGTGAGGCAGACTCTCAAATGTGACCTGCCTTTGAACATAACTGGGGTCTTTCATGAGTAAGGTAGGTATGCGGGAGGTGAGATGCCCAGTGATTGAAGCTGCTTGCATCCATTGGCCAATTCAACTTCTGGATACTATCGAGGAGGTCTATGTGTGCTGGCTTTTAAAAGGAGTTTGTTAATCTTGTGAACAATTCCCACGAAATAGAATATGAAGATAATTAATTATTAGTGACTATTCTTGACTGAAATAATTACATGCAAGCAATAATGCATGGAGGAAGAAAAGGACAATGAGAAAGGAAATTAAGTAAAATTACATCTTATAATTTTTCTAATATAGGCACAGTTACACTGGTAGATGCCATTATTTCTGCAGTTTAGTCGCTGCTCTTCCCAAACTCTGGGAGCCAGATTTTATATGTACTTTGTGTGACATAGAACTCCGTACTATTTCAGTTAAAAAACCATTTAAGGCTGGGCGGGGTGGCTCAAGCCTGTAATCCCAGCACTTTGTGGGGTCGAGGTGTGAGGATTGCCTGAGCCCAGGGGTTCGAGACCAGCCTGGGCAATTTGGTGAGATCTCATCTCTACAATAAATGAAAAAATTAGCTGGGCATGTTAGCACACGCCTGTAGTTCTGGCTATTTGGAAGGCTGAGTCAGAAGGATCACATGAGCCAAAGGGATTGATGCTGTCATGGTGGTAAGCATGCCACTGTACTCCAGCCTGGGCAATGGAGAGAGATTCCAATTCCAAGTCAAAAAAAAAAAACCAAACCAAACCAAAAACATTTAATTTTGTGGATGACTCCAGGGGTAACATCACGAAGGTCCCTCTTGAATAGCATAGACCTATGACTAAATAGGTCAGTGGTTAATCACGCTTCATGAGAATATGATTGATGCTTGGGCGAAGGGTACAGGCCAACTTAACAATAGATGACTACCCTAGTTCTGGAGACCTGGGAAATACCAATGAGAGCATAATGACCCCAAGCAGAAATAGGGTGCTTTCGCAAAACCAATCTTTTGCCTGCATCATCCGAAAGGTAAAATGTGTGATCTCCTCTCCCTTAGAACTTAATCAACCTCTCAGCATTCATAGATGGCTAGGAGGACACAGTAAATGCCTGTCATTTTGTGGAAGCCCACAATCTTTTTTCTTTTTAATTTATTTTTAAAATGTGGGGTACAATTCAAGGTTAGGTTTACAAATGGTCATTGTACAGGTTAAGTTTGGGCCTCACATTGGTCCCCGCTTCACCTGGTTGAGATCAGGTACCCCCTTATTGATGAAGTGTGCCACCTGCTTCCTTTCCCTGGCAATTTCTCACTATTGAAAATCCCTTTCTAGCGGTATTATGATAATTGTTCAGGGTCCGCTTATAAGTGAGAACATGTGGTACTCAGATCTTTGTTTTTGTGATAGATCACTGAGTACTACAGATTCTAAATCCATCTAAGTTGCTGCGAAGTTCATAATTTTGTCCTTCTTTATGGCTGTGTAATATTCCATCATATATGTGTACCACTTTTTTAATCCAGTCCACTTTCAATGGGCAGCACAGTTGGTTCCATGTTTTGGCTACTGTGAATGGTGCTGCAGTAAACATGCATGTGCAGGAATCTTTTTCATAGAGTGATTTGAGTTCCTCTGGGTATATTCCCAGAAGGGTGATTGCTGAGTCATATGGAACATCGATTTTTAGATCTTTTAGGAATTGCTACAATCTTTTCCACAGAGGTTGTTCTAATTTACACTCTAACCAACAGTGTAGAAGTGTTCCCTTATCCCTGCATTCTCTCCAGCATCTGTTGTTTTTTTGAGTTATTGATGATGGCCATCCTGACTGGAGTTAGGTGGTATCTCAGTGTGGTTTTAATTTGCATTTCTTTGATGATTAGTGAGGTTAAACATTTTTTCATGTATTTGTTGGCTGTTCATATGTCTTCTTTTTTATACATAATTTATTTTATTTTAAAGATGTAGGGTACAATTCAGGGTTAGGTATACAAACGTTCATTATGCAGGTACCCTTGTTGATGAGGTGTGTGCCCCCCCCACCAGAATCCCACTACTGCCAGTCTTCCCCCCACCCCCAGCAATTTCCCAGTACTGACAGTCCTTATAGTATTATGATAATTGTTCAAGGTCTACTTATGAGTGAGAACATGTGATACTTGGTTCTTTGTTTCTGTGATAGATTAATCAGTACTAGAGACTTTAAGTACATCCAAGTTGCTGCAAAATTCATAATTTTGTCCTTCTTTATGGCTGCATAATATTCCATTGTATATATGTACCACATTTTAAAAATTCATTCCTCTTTCTATGGGCAGCATGGCTAGGTCCATGCTTTTGCTGTTGTGAACAATGCTGCAATAAGCATGCGAGTGCAGGTTCCTTTTTCAGAGAGTCAGTGAGTGCCTCTGGAT